TTCTAATTTTGACTACTGCATAGTCATCCTTAGGTTGAGTTGGACTGTAGAAAAATCATTCATCTTGAACCAAAGAGACTTGATATGATTAACTTAACCCCGGAAGGAACATCATCAGTGCAAGAACCTGCCTTTATCTTGATAAGATTTGATGTCTAGAATAATATTGAGACATTTTGGTTAACTCAACCAGCCTTTTTTAGAAGCCCGAGGTTTATCACTAAAGATTCTCCTTACATGTATTCAGTTATCTTCCCATCTTGGAGAATCTCACCAACACATTGGAATCAGACTTGATCATGACTTCAAATATGGAGATCAATAAAGTCACCTCATCCTGCAGGTTAAAGATAGTAGACAACATTCTTCCTTATCATCATGTAGTTGAGAAAAAAAATACCTTTTGTTTTTGTCCCTGTTGAAAGACTCATTCACCTTTGATTCACATTCCTTTGAAAGAGGAGGCCAGCTTATCATAAGATATTCTTTTAAAGTAAGAAACTACATAAAAAAAACCACCTTTCAGATAGGGCAGAAACCTTCTTGGAAAATTCAAAAACAGAATCACATCCCTCATCAGACCAGGAAATAGAAAAACCCTTCAGATGTTTCTTGAGGAAGATAGGGCATAAATCTAAATTCTTCAAAATCATGACATTAAATGTCTTTACTTGGATTTGTCTTCTCATCTATTCAAACCTTCATTTGAGCTACAAAGTCTTAGTGATATCATGAATAATGTTCTTCACATTTGGCATTGACCTTCTGTTTACTCTCCTCAGGACCTGGTTGGATTGCCTTCCAAAGAATATAATAGCAATAAGAAACTTTACATTAGATACTAGGACATAAGTTCCCACAGAGTTGGAGATAAAATCCATACTCTTGTTCTTCTTTAATATTTGTCACTTCCATGTCAAATCTCTTGGGTAGAGACTTGAGTGTCTTCTTCTTGATCAGCCTTTCTCCTGAACTCTTTTCTCCAAAACACATAGATGTGCTTTTATGAGTGGACTTGAGAATTTCTCAAGTATCTTTGGTCACACTATATGTGATAATTAGTCTGAGCAAATGCTAATCAACTCCTTTGATTATGGCATTAACAACCTCGGAGTTTCAGAGAACCAACTCAAACTTTTCCCTTTTCTTCCCTTTTATCTCCTTAGCACCAGGATTCTCTTATCCTGGCAAATTTCCAAGTTTTGTTGTCCGTTGTTTCCAAAATGCTATCACTCTAGCCTTCCAAAAGAAGCATATAGTACCAGAAAAATTCTCCCTGAAGCTCACCCAATAGACATAACAGGGTGCCTACTCTGATACTAATTGAAATTCTTGCACTTGCAACACATGTTAATATTGATGTCCCAATATCAGAACACAATATCAATACAGATGTTATGACATCTACTGACAGACAGAATAAATAAATTAAAACTAAAACTTATGCATAAATAAATTGTAGAATGATAAATAACGCAGCTGATTGTTAACCCAGTTCGGTGCAATATCACCTACTCTGAGTGCTATCAAGCCAAGAAGGAAATTTAAGTATTAGTTCAAAGCCTAAACAGTCCTAGTTTACAACATACCACTTAATCACTACCTTGTGCAACTTCTACCTAGAAATCACCATTTAGATATGAGATCTCCCTCTCACTTCCAATCACTGTAGTGATACCTACAACCACAAACCTTGTGACTGGACCAAAAGAATCCAATAGAATATTACACTTCAAATACAAAAATACTTAGTTTTGCTTAAAAGCTTCAACTAAGAACAATACTCCATTCTATGCTTAAAAGCTTTAAGAGTGATAATAATGACTTGATAAATAATCAAGTAACGATCAGTCTACCTCATGGTATCAAAAGATACATGGGTGACTTACAAAAACATAAGAGACTCTCAAAACCTAAGACTTTCGACTTCTCCTAATTTTACAATTGTGAAAGTTAAATTACATTAGATATAGGTTTCTCTTTAAATACTCCTCGGAAGTCCATGGGCTTCGAAATCTTCACTCATATATTTCTTGATCCACAAGATGAAGGTTGCACCAATTATGCAGAAAAATCTCCTTAAATCTTGGAACAAAACATCAAGTTTCCTAAATTGTCTCAATATCTAATTTTAGAAACTTATATACAACTGTAGATTAGATCACTTGTTCCAGATTAAATCTTCTTGACCTGCAAAAATTATTGAGATATATCCAAAAGAAATATTACAAAATCAAATCAAATTTGTCAAGATTTAAAACAGTTTGTACTGATGTTCTGGTTCAACATGTCACAACATCTGTCAGAATATATGTCTTCAATGCAACCTTCACATTATGTTGTATCAATTTGATCAAATGTTATGACATCTTGCTCAACATCTATTGTGAACCATGTTTTAGCACAATTGTTGTCAATCATAAAATCATAGATCTAACAAATTTTTCAAATAAACAATCTATCACAACATTAGCAATGTCGATTCTACACTGATTCTTATGTCAAATCTAGGACATTGAAATGTCGGTGTTATTCCCTGGTATATTGAAGAAGACCTCTACCTTCAATACCAAATTGTTAGTAGATGTATTGCATATTGTGACGTCCCCGACATAGGGCCGACCGCTGTAGAGTTGTGGGGCATAGCGGCGCCCTACCTGGCGCCATTCCCGAATCTAACAACAGACAGGCGGGCCGCCTCAAAAAGCGCAGACGAGCCACATGCAGAAACCAGACTGAATCACTGTATAATTTTTAACTGTTGACAAAGAACTACTCTTTATTCTTTTGTTAAATAATGAGATAAGATGTATGTTACTGATTGAAATTTATATAATTAAAATAATGATTTAAGAAATAATTGTCATTGATGTAAATAAGAAAAAAATATGTCTTTTAATAAACTGAAATTTAGACAAAAAATGATAAATTATTTATTTGAACACGAGAAAAAATAAGTTACTTAAAAATATATCTACTACTATAAACTAAAAAATAATAGTATAAATGCATTTATGGGAAAAATATTTGTCACTTATTAATTAATTAAATGTTTTTTTTAAATATGTGAAAATATTATTTTGTTAATAATTTATGAATCATATATATTGAAATTTTTTATTTCCTGATTTATTCTATTCTCCAATCCATGTCCTTTAATATTTGTTTATTTGTTATCTTTTTAATAAGATAATATACTATTTAGAATTAGAAATATTATATTATATTAAAATATAATCACTGGTATTAAATTTTAAATTTATATTTTGTATCATTTATATGACAATATAATTTTTAAATACATAAATAATAAATAATGTATGAATTAAATTGAATTAAAATTGTATTATTTTATATATGAATAATTTAATTATACTCATTTGTTTTTATTTGCAAAATAATTATTATTCCTCAATTAAACTCTAAAGTTGATAAATATTATTTCGTTAGAATCATTATTATTTTTTATATTTATGCTACTTTTATATTTAAAAACATTATTTGTAGTTATTATTGATCAAAATATGGAAAAATATTTTGACATTGATATATTAAATTATGATTTTAAATATTTAACTTATATTTTTGGAAAAACAATTTAAGTTATATTATCTTATGATTTTAAATATTTAACTCATATTTTTGGAAAAACAATTTAAGTTATATTATCGAAAAAATAATTTAACTTATATTTTCATAATATTTTTATCAAAAATAGGTTAAATTATATCTTAATAATATTTTCATAATATTTTATCTCAAAAAATGGGTTAAATTATATTTTAATAATATAATATTAGTTTAATTATGTGTTAAATATTTGTTATGAGTTAAGTTAAATTTTATTGTTGATCTAAATATTTTTGTAAATGATGTTTAAAAAATAATATTTGTATAGAATAAAATATATTAGTGATTTAAAATATTTTATTATAATTAAAATATATATATATATATATTATTGATCCATATATTTTTATAAATAGTATTATTTTTATGAAAAATACTAGATTGTACGAACATTTTGTAGGGAAGAAATGCAAAAATGTAATGGACCACTGATTTATACAATAGACTATCTATGACTTGTAGCAATAGATAAATAGCCGATTTCATTTTCTTAAAAATACTGCCACGTAGTTATTCTAGTCTTTCTTGTATTATTTTCTTCATAATAAATAGCATGGTTCTATTTTTATTACTATTAATTTAAGTATTTTTTTAAGCGATAACTAAATAAAAATAATATTTGTGTATATCTAACACGCATGGATTTTTTATTAATTTTGTTTTTAAAATTATGACATAGTTAATATTGTCGGTAGATCTCTTATTTTCATATCTATATTTATACTTTCTTTATTGGAATCTATATTTATACTTCAAAAGTACTTTTGTATACTCCATTTATAATATGAAATTGTAATCAACCTAAGTTTTTATTTAATAATTTATATTAAACAAACATATTATTTAAAGTCAATCCTATATTTTGTTTTGTACAGTTCTTTCGATTCAACTTATTCAAATTTATCATGTTTTCTTTTCTTCAATTCCTTCTCTATACAATGGTTGAGCTGAACTAAGAAGGGGTGTAAATTCCCTTAAAATATTGAACTCTTTTAATGAAATACGTTAAATCTAGTTAAGGAGTATTGTTTAAGATGACGGAAAGTAATGTCAAAATAATTTTAAGAATTTAATGGGTCTCATTCTAGCAAAATCTTATTACTATGTGCTTGTAATTTGAGAATTGCAATTCTGTTGGGTTGAGAAACTACATTAATCTAGCTAATATCTGACCAAAAAATACCCCCAATCAAATATTAAAAGAAAAGCAAATGCCACAACTGCATGGAGTTCATTCTCTTTAAAGTATGTACAATTGAATAAGGCTCAGAGCATCAAAATGAAATGTAATAACACCCTATTTCACCTAAACCTGCTACTAAAAACCCTAATGACAAAAAGGGGGAGAAAAAACAAACAGGACTGTGCAGTTAGTGGTTATGCTGCCAAAGTTGATGTAATTGTCTGGGCAACAAATCTTGAACACTGCCTGACTGCTTCTGTTCTTCTGGAATTTGGCTCCAAGAAGGATAGAAATCAGAATATTCATGACTTGCATACTGTGATAGGGAAGCCTGACTCGGTTGGGCTGGGAAGGTATATGGGGTTCTCTCCGGTACATATGAAGATCTTAACCTCGTCTCGTAATCCCGTTGAGAAAAGCTATCATGCTGGCAAGAAGATCAACAATAAAGTCAGTTAAACAACTGATAAAATTATAGTAGACTTAAACAATGTGAGCATTAAAATGATACTGGTCAAACTTTGAGATAATGCACCCATCATACAATTGAGTTCTGTTATTTGAACATCAAAAAACATAAAATGTATGTAAAACAATCTTCAACAAGTTACATGCATTTCAACAATCATTTCTCAATAACAGTTGGATGCTATCCCTTTTTTTATTTTTCGGGATTTCCCAGAGTTGGCACATACAGATCAAGAATGGGTAACTTTTTATGTCCATAGTGATTTTCACCACGTTCACAACTACATATAGAAAATATAATTCTTCAAAAAGATAATAAAATTTACCGGTTGAATAGAGCTCAAGTTATGTCCACCATAATATTGAGAAGTTAAAATCTCATTGAAGTTACCCGAAGGTTTCATATTACCAAGAGATGTATTAGATTGAAAACTTCCGGGACGATAGAAGGAAGAATCTAGATTTCCATAACCAGGTGCATCACTGACAGTAGATGGATGCAATCTACTCATGAGGAATTCATTTCTATTTTGTGGAAGGCTGTTGTAATTCACATTTGCATGTGATCGACTATATGCAGTGTTGTCTGAAAATGCTCTCTGTGAATCAATGGTTGTCATATATGACTGATTCTGGGGTAGGGAATAATATGCTTCTTGCGACTGTTGAAAGTGATTATTGGGCTGCATTGTAAAACCCTGAGTAGGTGCAGATCTGTTATGCAAAGCAAAGGTGCCTGGTTCAATGTCCTGCATGTTTAAACAACTGTCAAGAACAATGACACTAATTATTAGGTCCAATTTATCAATAACTTAGATGAGGGGATTGATCCTTGCACTTCTAAGCCTCATAAACGATACCAGTATTCTGAATACAAATTTCTTTGCAATGAATTTGTAAAAATTTCAAAGTAACTGAGATATCAATGTCACACCAATAGGAGGGTAATAGTGACATAATAAAATCACTTACCAATTAAAAAGATATAGTGCTCATGGTAAGAAAATAGTTTTATACTATTAGGGCTTGTTTGATTTAGTTTTGCAAAACTATTTTTTAGTTTGTAAATTTGAAAATAATGAACTTGTTTGCTTACCTAATTTTACAAAACAAATTTTATAAACTATCTTCTATTTATAAGTTTGAAAAACTAAAATATGTTTTAGATGTTCTGGATTTTACTTGGGAAAATTGGGAAGATAAAAAAAAACAAAGAATATGGGTACAATTTTCATTAATGAGAAATTCAAAATAGTGTAACTTGAAAATGTAAAAAGAATGTATATGAATCATCTTGCTTTATGAATACAAATATGTCTATTAAACAAGCTTTTTCATTTCCTCATCTTTAAAATAGTTTTCAATAAGAAATTAACAAACATGTTTTTTTCCTTCAAAACAGTGTTTTTAAATTTATTTATAAAATAAATGTTGAAAACTAAAAAAACAAAACTCATTCAAACATACCCCTAGTGTTCTGTTTTATTTCTAAAATTTAAATTATTGTACCCACCCATCCCTTAGGTTTTTGAAATACAGTATTCCACATCCATACCCAATAATTTATATATAATCCATACCTTCACAATTTAGTTGGTTGACAATTCCAACAAATGTTTAGTTAGCTCTATTATGTTGCTAGAAATAAAGACAAGCAAAATAAAATCACAAGGTAGGTGTATGGAAAAAGAATGTACCCTGGACATGGAGGGGGGTAAATTGTTTATGGATGGTTCGCCATTGTGTTTTGAACGTTGTGATTCTGCTAGGAGAAATGCCAACAAACCTTGAGGTGCCGAATTTGAACTATTATGCTGCATCAGGGCAAATAGAAGCAAATCTTAAAATCATGTCATATTTAAAAATGAGTAAATAGCCATCAATGAACAGATTTACAAGACGAGAATTAGCAAGAAAAAAAACATTAGAAGAAAAATGTAACCATACCTAATTATCAAATGAATAATACAGGAAGTTATTTGCAAAAAGTTACATGCATATCAGAAAAGCAGAATAAACGAGCCACTTCATAAAAACAGTTTAGTCATGAATTCATGCATACATATGCAATCAAGATCAAAATCTGAACTATGGTCTATGAGGCTTATAGGTGGCAAGGAATTAGTGCCCTGAACAAAGTATTGATCGATTGGACCTAATAATTAGTGCTATTGATAATCTTGACAGTTGTTGAACAATGCAGGACATGGAGCTAGGAATCTTAAACATAAAATAAACTGCATTGCATTTGAAGCATAGAATATGCAATGTAGTAGAAATAATATTTTAACTCGTAGCATTTTGTACAAGTTGCTACAATCATGGAAATCAGCCTCTTGCCAATGATAACAAAAGCTTGTCCACAAGATTTGCAACGAGTTCTCTTAAGCGTTGGATTGGACCTTTACTCATCATGATAGGATACTGGTTTTGGGCCTTAGCCCGATAGAAAGGCCTAACAGAGAATCTGTTATAACTGCTTATGTCAGAAGGGGGAAGGATAGTTATATAAGGACACCGATTGCAAGGGAGAATTCATTATGTGTATTTTCGGATAGAAACCATTTGGGTTGGGCAGAGAGAGAATATCTCTCCTCTGAGGAGTACTTTGTACATTGCTCTGGGATTATAGAGATTCGTCTCTATAATAGTTTTAATTTCAATCAATGATACATTTTTCATTTATCTGAAATGTGTTTCTATCACATCCTTACAAAAGGAGATTGTATGGCATGTCCAACAAACACTATTAGATTTTGTGTGGAAATACAGTGGGTGCTCCAATAGATAGGCTGTGACACCGTCTTCTGTTTAATTAGACCTAACTCAACCTTATAAACCAACTTATCAGTTGAGAGTTGCCCCTTTTTTTAAGCTCTTTTCGGACATGAAAGGACACCTGGGCTGAGTGCAGTAGCAGTAGCAGAAGACACACTAGAAGGCCAAAGGGATTCTGGGGAGTGAGTAAGAGTTAGTTAGGTGTGGGGGTATATTTTTTTCTTCTGATTATTGTTGGAGAAACTCGTGATTCTCTCTATCATAGAAGATTTTCTGTTTTTATTGTGTCTATTTCCTTAAGTTTCTCCCTGATTGATTCAAAGATGAATACTAATTTTCTTCTCTAATTTTCTTCTGAAAGATGAATACTAATTTTCTTCTCATGACACCAGAGATGTCGAAGAAATTGGATACTTTGGGAAGTGTAACTTGCAACTCTGGAAGAATCCCGCTTTGAAGGAATGTCGTGAATTTATGTTGGCAGAGTTAGCCAAATGTTAGGATGTCCTTCCGAGGAGGTTCATCCTCCCGTGTCAGCGAAGAAAACGAGATGTTGGCGAAGTTTGCCAAATGTTAGGATGGCTTTCCGAAGAGGTTCATTCCTCCTGTGGCAGCCAAGAAAACAAGATGTTGGTAAAGATGAAGAGTAAGGGAAAAGCCAAATAACAAATACAATTCAGTGTTGAAGGTGATCGGGGCATCCAAAAATGGGGGGGAAGAAGCTCGCATCAAAGAATCTAAACTGAGATTTGAAACGATTTTTAGTGCAATAGAAGAAATGCTGAAAAAGATAATAACAAATTGAGTGTGGAGAAGACGAGTGTGGTGCAAAGAATGAAGCAAATTGATTTTCTTTCAGCCACCACCATCGCCGAAACTGGCAAATGCCAATTTACTTGTGATAGTTACAAAGATCCCAATCATTCAAGCCCCGGTAGTATATGCACCACTGACAGAGTTGCTAAAGCTGCCAGAACCGCCAGACACATGACCCCTTGCGGTCACAGAACAGGGCAACTTGCAGTAGCCATCGGGACTCACACTGCATGTGGCTTGATCATGCATGCCGCCGCCGCCACTACCAAAGTCACTGGGATGGTCCACTTGTTGCATCCCTCTGTCTCTGGTGAGTTGCCGACAGAGGCAAATTTGCATTTCAAGCCCCGGACAAAGACAGCTTCAGCTGCTTCAAAACCCTTGTGTCCTAATACAATGGAAGCACTCTCCTGGTGAAGGTTTAAGTTGGGGGATGGAGCATATTTAGAGAGTTAACTTCCTAAGTTCATACTTGAAGACAAGTTTATACTTCAAGGGGCTGGTGTAGTGATAGGACACCTAGGCTGAGTCTAGTATCAGAAGTAACCCTCAAAGCCCACAATATGGCAGGTTTATTCTAAAAGGCCAAAAGGTGGGACCTAGGGGAGAAAACCATAGTTAGTTAGAGATGTGAGGTGTTTTTCCAAGTGATTGTATTAGATAATGTTATGATAAAGGGGATAGAGGTGAGCAGGGGAATCTTCACGATTATTGTTGATAGTTGGTTAGGAGAGAGTAGTCTCTCAAGTAGGAGCTTTGCTCTTAGATGCAGATAATCCTGAAACATGAGTTTACTCCCTTCTAATCCTAGGCGTGATCAGGAAAATGATAACTCATTGACCATAGAATATTCTTAGTAGACATCCAAATATTAAAACTAATGTAAGATGCGGGTCGAATTTCAAAAAAAATGCAAGGCACGGGTCTAACTAAGTTGGATCGGACTTGACTAATTAGGATGGGCTAGAATAGTTAGGTTTGTATTCAATTTAAACTAAATAGAATAGAATAAGAGTGGGTAAGGACTGGCTTTAAAATCCTTGTCATCGCTAAGGAAGAAACAGCCTCCTGCAGTTTCAACCTTCCTTAATTGCCTAATGCAGTTCTGTATAACTCAGACCCTGCAACACTTGTTTCCTGGGAATTTCATCAAATACTCCCTCTATCGCAAATTATAAGTCGTCTAGGGCATTTCGAACCAATTAAGAAATATAGTTAATTTTGTATGGAAAAGAGAAACTATCTGTTACTTTATAAAATTGTCCTTCATTAATGACATATTAATGACATGTGAGGAGATTAAAAGAAATGAAATAAAGGAGGTAATAAATAGTAGATAGTATAGGAAAATAATCATAATTGTTTAATTGGGGTATTGTAAAGTGGCTTGCAATTTGGAACAAATTTATTTTTACAAGCTGACTTAATTTGGGATGGAGGTAGCAATATCCTAAGTATTAATTAGTAAAATTAAGCTTTACTTTATTACCAGTTCTAACAAAACATCATTTAGAAAATTAATATAAAGAACTCAAGATAGGAAGGCAATAGTATCACCAGCTCTCCTGGAAATGAAGAATGGTTTCCACTCTGCAAGACTGGCTGCTTCAAAGTCAGTGATGGAGCCATCCATTGGGACTTTTGCAAACTGTGATCTGATATAGATGCTGTAGTGTTGTATTCATGCCCAAGAGTTGAATGGAGGTCATAGTTTTGATCACCAGATATTCCTCTAAGAACATCAGTCCCAAGCTGATTTCCAAGGTTTACAATACTAGTACAGAAGAAAAAAAAACACATGAGAATGAGTTGTCAGAGACAAGGCTGAATATATCAAGAATTGGAAACAGAAAAGAAAATGCCTGGGATCCAAGAACTGAGCCAACGAATCATCTACAGTTGCCGGTTTCATCTCCAAGCCATCTCTAGAAAGATTATTAGGTGTGGAAGTCTCAGAAGATGCAGAATTATTGCCACCCTTGTATGTGCCAAAACTCAGATGCGAACACTCAGCAGCCAAGGCTTGTAAGTGATTTGGAAGAACCACTATATCGTCAGATGATGGCACTTCTAGGTTGGACTCTTTCATACTTAGCCGCTGAAGATCCGAAGTAACAGATGACACACCTACAAGGACATCATTAGTAAATTTGTTAAAATGTTAGCAATTCAGTACCTCCTGAAGAAGAAAAAGAGTGTGCAAAATATAAAATTTGAGTGAATATTGAATTGCTTGATTATTTATGCTTTCATAAAAATAAAATAAAAATGCTACAAGAATTGATCATTTACGAGAAGCAAAAACCTGAAAAATAGAACTGCTTGGCATTTGGGTAAACAACCTAATAAAGTGCATGTTCAAGTAACGCTTATTTATAAGCTATTGTCATAACCAAAAACATAATACCTATTTGTGCTTACATATCATATGATAAAGCCCAAAAAAGCTCTAGAAATGCGCTTCCAAATTAGTTTTACAGTCTCAATAATGAGAAACTATATAGCTTTTGGAAAAAAAGCAATATCATAGAAAACTTGTTTTCTCGAAGCTTATCCAAAAGCAACCTAAATATTTGTTGGTTTCTCCTATAAAACTTTAAAGGGCAAGACAACTTTCTAGTGTCTAAAATAATAATAATGTGCATAAAATAGGGATATTAACACAATCACCAGTGAAGACATTCATATGTCAAATTTCGAGTGGCCTCGTACTGTTTTATCCCACTAAATGGGGTCGACTACATGGATCAAATTCTTCCATAATATTTTATCCAATATATTAATCTCGAGATCTTCTCAATAGTTTTTCTTATAATTTTTATAGATCTTCCTCTACCTCTAAATGTTTGACTCTTCTCCATCTGATCTACTCAGATTACAACAAAATCTACACCTCTTCTCTCTACATGCCCAAACCACTTAAGTCTATTTTCCACCATCCTTTCTACTATAGGTGCTACTCCAACACTCTCTCCAATATTGTCATTTCTAATCTTATCTCGTATAGTCTTACCACAAAAATCTAATAGAACATCCCCGTCTCTACTACACTTTCTTTATTTTCGTGTTAATTCTTAATCGCCCAACATTTCTAATGTCCGATAAAAATTTCCCTTCAATACTTTTGTGTCACATAAAACCCCCAAGACCCTCCTCTATTTCAGCTACCCATTTTGAATTCGATGGTTTATATCCCCTTATATTTCTCCATCATTTTATATTACAGACCCTAGATATTTAAATCGAGCGGCCTCATAGCAGCAACGGATCTTGGATAGGCTCTAATATCATCTTAGAATTTGAATTAGGTATAACTCAAACCTACAAAATCAACTTGTAAGGTGAGCATTACACCCACTTATAAAAACATGTTTGGTCCTTATCCCATCCAATATAACTCTTAATAAATCTGAACAAGCCAACAATGAATTCATTGCAGGGATGAGAGAAAAACGGCCACCAAGTACCCATGTTGAACACATCAGATCGGGAAGTTATATAAAATACACAGTAACAAAATAGAAATGTTACTGCCCTGACACAATGCTCCTTCAGAGTGCCATGTTTGCTCCCTGCCCCCACTAAAAGAAAAATACAGAATGATGATAATCTCATAACTGCCTATTTCTGACCCTTTGAAACCTCTCTTATAAACCACTTGTAAAACTGACCCCTCTTACAATAATTAACTGCTTCCCACTACTTTTTTACTGCTTCTTTCGTACACTCTCCACTTCCTTGGTTTGTTAACTGCTTCAATAATAACTTCCATGTCGACATCACTGGCACTTTATACAATTTTAGTATTAGTTGTATTCTCTAACTCTTTACTTTTATGTTTTGAAGCCACCATACATAAGTACATTTAGAGAAATTTCACTATTTAGAGAAATGGTATAGCATTTCACTTTGATGCATTCCAAATTTAACACATTTTTATTATTTGATTTGAAGTGGTTGTGTTAATTTTACACTATAATATTTAGATGTATTACAGCCTACAATATCTTATAATTTTATAATTTAGTTGTAGTGTCAAGTAATTTACTTGTACTTCCTAGCCCATATATCCCATTTGATCCATTCAATGTATAGGAGTCACTTACGAGCTTCTGACATAGTCAACCCCTTTCCATTCCACATCCACCATCTAAGTCTTTCTACAACTTCCTTTTGGATACGTTTATTTAGAATAAGCTTGATCTTATCTCATTACCCCTCCATTGATTTAAAAACTAGTTGCCTCATCATGCATATTACTAGTAACTCAAAAATAACAAAATCAGCATACTAACTCCTTTTTCCAACAAATCATTATTGTGACATCCAACAACAACCAAGTCTTATTCCACTAAGTGAGGCAAACTCCATATTGTTCTATCAAATACCATGCTTCTATCTAAATAATTAATCTCGAGATCTAGTTTCTCTCAGTGTTGTCAATGGCGGATGGCGGCAGTTCATGGCGGAGAGGAAAATTACCGCCATACCGGCGGTTTTGTGGCGCCGTTATAGCAGATTATGGCAGAAAAATCTGCAATATCGACCGATATTTACCATTACGGCAAGCCCAAAAACCGCCGTGTATATTCTCCATCGCACTTCTCTTATAGTTATTTCAAGTCTTCTCTCTATATGTTCAAAGTCAAACCATCTAAATCTAATTTTCACCATCTTATCTTTTCTACTATAGGTGTTACCTCAGTTCTCTCTCTTAATGTTGTTATTTTTAATCCTATCTCATCTAGTATTACCACTCATCCAACACAACATTCTCATTTCTATTTTCTGCTACAATGATGTTATCATTATTGTGACACCAACCATCGGCTTTTTCAAATCAAAGTATTTTCAAGCAACAATGGAATTATGACAGCTATTCATACAATCAGCTATAACAATTGTTGTTTAAATCAGTGTTGTCGATGGGGGATGGCGGTCCATGGCGGAGAACCAAAATCCCACCATACCAACTTCTTTGTAGCGCTGTTATAGCAGATTATCACGGAAAAAAACCTGCAATATCGGCCAATATTTACTATTGTGGCGAGCCCAAAAACCGTCATGTATATCCGCAATAGCGGCCATGGCACCGCTATTTGATAACACTAGTTTAAATCAAGTGTTTTCTAAAATAAATATATGGAAACACATGGTACATTCTATATGCATGTGCAACTTGTCATAATAACATGTGAGAACTTTTAAATTGCTTTGAGTAGTAAAGTATTTTCAACTCAAGAAGTATATAATCGATTAGTTATAGTTCTCTCCATATGTATGAATCCCAAGGATCATGGCTTCATATATCAGTGTAATCATGTATACTTAGTATAAATCAAATAATTATTTGCTAAGTAAAATGCATGAAATGTTGCATTGCAACAATGGTTTACAATCACCAACACCATACAGAAGTGGGTTTTTCTAAATCTCACTTCCATGTCGATGCAGTGCAAAAAAAATGTAATGACATGTTGCAATTATTGTTTTACAGAAAAATAAAGAATGAAGCCACTAAAAATCTAAAGCCTGAGTCACAATAGTTACCTTCGTGATGCTCATAAGAACTACGAAAATCGGAGGTAAGAGTATTCTTTAAATTAGAGTTGGAATGTGGTCCTAGTCCAGTGTTGTTCGATATGGAAGCAGATTCAACCTTTTCAGAAATAGCATTATCACGGTCAATCTCCTCCCGTGAAACTTGGGCTGCATCTAATTCACGGTTCCTGTGTAAACTTACTTCAGTATCATGCCAGTTAGAATGCTCTAATGGACCATTAGCATTTGATGACGAAGACATGTTTAGTGCTTGCGTGTTTCCAGTTATTGGCTGTTCAATTACAGGCCACTCATCATGAAAACCTTGTTGCTCAGAATTATTTCGACAGGGAACACTCAAGTTGGACTCTGAATTTCCAGATAATAATGAAACTCCTATGGAATTACAATTGTCATGTGAAACAGCATCTTGAGACGTTGTGCCCATTCTTACAATGTCTGCCATTGAAAGATGTCCTTTGCTCGCTCCTACCGACCAGGGTAGAGGTGCTGGAGACACTTGGGCAGTATCTGACATGGAGACGCCTGTTCCTAATGACTGTCTTCCATTATCAGTATATAAAGAATCACTGCACCAAATTTTAGAAAATAATGAGGCAAATACTTACAGTTTATTTACAAAAATAATCACAACATTCTAATAACGGTGATATCAATAAGCCAGGCAAACAAAAAAATATTTGCACATTTCGTAATAGTAATTTGGCAAGGCAAAAACTCCAATATACACCTAAAATAATAAACACTATTAAAAAGAGTAACCCCAGTACCATCATAGCAATTTCCATTGAAGGGGCAGACCAAATGCAGGTCTATAGGCGGGCAGCCCTTCTTGGCATTTGCAGCAGGCTGATTCCATGATTGGAACTTGTGATGCATTAGACAGACAGATGATAGCAACTATAACAATTGCATCAAAAGCCCCCATCAGGTATTAGTATATACTATTCACTGATTATTTATGTCATACGAAATACAATTAATGCATACACAAAAATACAGAGTTTAGTTGTGGTCGCTAACATCCAATGGCAATAAAAGATACCGCGCCCATGACCTCTATATGTCAAATGTGAAACAAACATAGCTGCAGTAGCTGGCAGAAAACCTAATCGCAGCTCAGCATTTTTAAATTTTTAAATTAAACACTAGCAAGAGTGAAACAGAGAAAGCGACAAAGACAATATTGACAAAAGGATACCATATACCAAAACCATCATCAAAAACACAATTGGAACATTTTCCACAGATAGCATATCTCATGGAATAAACTGACATCAAGCCACAGACAATCAATAGCAAAATTATACATAATAAAGTCACACCAAATTAGATGTAAATAATACTAAATAAATACTCACGCTTTTGTACTTTTCCCCGCAACATGAGTTGTGGAAGAAGTAACCGAAGCACAAACTGACCCAACATCTTGCTTGTCAACCGCTTTACCGTTTTCTGACATACGTTACACACATTCAATAACGTAAGGCCGTGCAATAGTAATAAAAACCAATATCGTTATCATCATAACAGAAACTATTAAATGTTCCACATTCAAAAGAAAAAGAATACCATTATAAGCCACATGATGAAATCCATTTTGCACAACACCGGGATCATTTCCATTGCCAATGCCAACGCCAATTTTGCTTCCCTTACTCAACGCCGTACTATTACCCTTCGTCCTCGAATCCACAGCCTCCTTCATCTAAATTTAAAATGCATATACATTATTCATCATTCATCATCACATAATACATTCAAATTCAATCAATGTTAATGTAACAATAATAAATTACCTCTTTTCTTTTTTCACGTTTGCTTCTAACCTCACGAAACGTATCTACAATTAAAATGTCACACACTTACAATCACACTTACAATCACATTCACAACGAATTCGCTTAAAAAATCATCAAACTGATTCATAGACCACAAACAATATCAATATCACTTTTCGCACTCTCTGAAAAGGTAAGAAAACATCAATATCACACATAAACAATCACCAAAAACTGAAAACGAAGTCAATAGTTTCATCATCTTCACTAAACTCCCTTCCCTGTAACAAACCACAAAACGGTTGAAAAAAGAAAAAAAGAAAACAACAAACTCCAATGCAACAACGAAACGTCAGTTACGTAACCGAATCAAGAAACAGAAGTGAAAGAAAAAGTAATCAAAAAACAAAAAACCTTGAGCGAGAAGCTTCTCGACGGCGAGGTTAGGGTCCATATCACAGTCCTTAAGAACGTCATAGATCTCCTGTTCCGTACAGTTAACGATCTCCTTCACCGTCGCAACAACATCCACCGCCGCCGTCTTTCCACTGCGAGCATTATTACTTTCACTCCCCATTCCGAAAAAATTGCCGCACTTTGTATCGCTTTAGCGGCGAGGTTTTTTTTTCGATTATCAAAAAAAGCAGAAAAACACTGAAAATCGCTTTCGTTCTATCGCGCTTCGGGTTTTTGTTTTTGATAAATATAAGCGGTTTTTGATTTTGCTTGTGGACTGTGATTAAGTACTCGGAGTATTAGTATATCAACACTAGATATTGGGCCACGTTACTGTTACCGTCTGTCATGGTTTTATCCGTCACAGCCCATGAATTTTGCCGTTTCTTTTTGCCACGTGTGTGGAAATTTGTGCTTTTTATTGGGGGTTGAGGAGGATAATAATCACGGTCGTGGGATGTTTAGATTTTTTTCATTTAAGAATATTTTGTTTTATTTTGTTTTTGTTACGTGGCGTATCTTTAAAATGGAATAAGAAAAAAGTGAAACTGTTTTTTTAAAGGTTGATATCCAATTTGTTTGGAAAAAAAGTCTCCAAAAAATAATAAGTTTTTTGTCCTATAAATAAAAAATTCTCAATTTTTAATTTCTTAATAAAACTTCTGAGCATGATTGTACATGTTTGATTTGGTAGATGAAGTTTTGAAACAGACAGGTGTCAACGCGGATTTAATAAAATTCATCTTAATTAAATAATAATTCAAAAGAGAGTGATCGAGTTAAAATAGCTTATCAATTAGATTGGTTTTGTCGGCTTAAGTTTGATACAACACATCTGATTGAGATATGACTAGGGACACAATTATGACTTATGAAAGGATATCATAGTCAATGATTTGATACAAGTTTGATTTTCAATCAATATTAAGATGTTATGTTAATTATGATTAATCACATTAAATGACTTTTAATGGACTTTTCTGTGAGGCGGGTCATGACACTAAAAAAAGAAGAGTGTAAGAGAAATATTTCTTCACAATTCATTAGACTATTTCGACCATGATTTTATTGGACTTCATTATTAGTGTTATCATTGGTGTACTTTTACAGATATGTATGGTGTTCACTGTGTGGCCCGGTAAAACTGACTTGGGTCTTGCACATCACTTTCAACGGTAATTTGACCACGTCTCATGATGGCAAAGGCCACAACCAATAGCAACAACAACAACAACGGTGACGAAGATGTCATTGCAGAAATGTTGGCCGCTATAGAGAAATTGTATTTCCAGAACAAAGTCTTGCAAGAGAGCGTTCATGACTTGCAAAACAACCTACAAATGCCCAGGTTCCCAAAATTTTCAAACCACTATTGTTACTATTGTTCAATGGCAAAAGCAATCTACAGGAGCACAAGATCGCCAGTTGGAACAAAACGGGCTTCCTATATGTTTCAAAAGATTTGACTTGATCATCTAAGCTCAAATATGGATGACCTTCCTCCTACACAATATTATACTTGTAAGCCACATTGTTAGACTACATCGACTTATTTAGAGGGGTGAATAGATCCCTAATTAAAAATCACCTTTCAAAAATGGTTATTTAAAAACTTATTTGGAAAACAATGTTGAGCGGAAGGTTTTTGGCCTAGATCAAAATAGTAGTCTAAACGAACCTAGTTATTGAAAATTCATATATGCACAAGCCATGTGGAATTAAGATGATGATAAAATTAATCAACATAATAATATCTCAATTAATAATTTAATATCAAACACAATAGTTTCCCTGTTTCTAATGAAATTTAAACAAACATATTGAACATTACAATTTGTCAAACACTTGGTGTGCGTTCGACTTTTCAGAATTTTTCCTTTGAGTTGTGTTGATATGAAAACCACGTATAATCAAATTAATTATAAGCTAATCAAGACATCACTTTAAACAAAACAATTTGCAGAAAAATTATTACTAGCCAATCGATCAAACAATTATTCGACAAATTACGTAATAAAAGCAAAAGCGAGTAAAGAGATAATAAAGGGTGACACAAGGATTTGTTTACACAATTCCCCACTTTCATCCTCGTGTGTGGGTACGTTTGCATCCAATTCCAAATTGGAATTAGGATACTTTCTTACTTTGCAAAGGTATGATTACAAGAGAAGTATTCAAGAGCAACCCTACAATCCATAATCGTTTGATTGTTGATTCAACTCCTTCTCTTCTTTTGATCTTCAACAAGACCAAGACACAATAGCATGTCAATTTATTAAATGAATCTTGTTACTCCTTTGTGTACTTTATCTCTAAAGCTTTCACGCACCATCAGTTGCACCTATTGCAACATAAGACTTTAATTTAATTCATTGTTGTCGCGCTACTTCCTTTGTGTTCTTTATCTCCAAAGGTCATTTGTGTTCTTTATCTCCAAAGGCCTTCACTATGTTGCAATCCTCTTTTGAATGTCTTGCACGAAAACCCTCAAATTAATCAACAATCTTGGAGGATAAACTCGTGGTTTTTCTGAATGAAGACCCCTGTAAATCTCAACTGAATATTCGCAGTTACACAAGAACCTATTTAGATATTATTAAACCTCGTCTAGATGGCTCCCTAAATAAATATTATTATGTGTGATTTGTTTGTGTGTGTGTATGCATAGGTTGGAGGTTGAAGGTGAATAGTAATTTCAGGAAATTTTTATGGTATCATCAAGTTGAAATGATGCATGAATGATGTATTTATAGTTGTGGAAGCTTAGATGCAAAAAGATGATTTTTTGAATTAAAAAGAATTGAAAAATTAATCCAATCAATTAGTATGTGTTGACCTGAAAATTGTATGTGTCGACACATAAGTCAAGTTTTAACTATATGTGTCGACATGAAATGAAGGGTGTGTTGACCAAAGCAAGACAATAACTTTAAGCTTTAAAAAAGTAGTACATGTGTCGACCTGAAATTCGTATATGCCGACACATAAAATAAGAATTTCTGTAACTTCAGTATGTGTCGACCTATATGGATGTATTTGTCGACCGAAGCCCTCCAGAGACTTCAGGCTTCCAAACTCAGTTGCATGTGTCGGCCTGAAATTCACATGTGTCGACACATACTATTGCACCCCAAAAATTTCCCTCTCTATTCTCAAGACATTTCTCACAAAAGATCTCAAATGCTCAAGAAGTTTCAAGAGTTTGATCAGACAAGTTCACCTCCTAAGCATTGAGCTTACAAATTAGGGTTTTGGTTTTCTCAAGGACAATTGGACTTTTGATGCCTCAAATGACTTTCATGGTTCATTATAGATCTCCAAGATTTCTCATACCAAGTTTCAAGTCTTGCATCACAAATTTGCTCAGTCAATTGCTCAGATGACTGAAAATCAGCTGTATTGGGTAAAAAGTCAATTGTGGTCAATATACAATCAAACTTCATAATTTTGGGCCAACATCAACATTTTGAAGTCATATTCATCAATTAATCAAGTGTTGATCACAATTCCTCAAGAAAAGCATTCAAATCATCAAGGAGGCAAAATGGTCAAAATTAGGGTTTTAACTGAGATGAGTTGAGTTGATCATTGACTTTTGACCTAATACATGACCCAGTGGCTTGAAGCATGATTTCAAGGACTAAAACACAACATGTTGACCTAACTTCATGGCTCAAATCATTTCTCAAGATCAATGGATTGATAGTTGAATTTTGGATCAACTGATGAAAAGTCAACTGATACACAAAAAGTCAAAATTTGACTTTTTGATCAACATTGAATCTCAAAGATCAAGATTCATCAAGATACTCAAAAATATCAAACTTGATCATCAAGAATCAAGAAAGTCAAGAAAGTCCACAAAAAGTCAAAAATATCCATACTTAGAAAATTTCTAAGCATTTTTAACCTTGATAATTTCAATACTTCATGACAAATTTTCACCAAAATGCAAGATGATTCAAGGAAAACTTTCAACATGAAAGTTGTAGATCTTAGTTACTTGTTGGATCACTTGCTTTTGTTTAAAATTGTTCTTTGTGTGGTTTTTGAAAGTATTTTGTAAAGAGGTCGTTGTTTAGGCAATCTTTGTAATGATTCTTATTTGTAAGAATGTATACAAAAATATTGATCTTTTGAAAATGTTTTCAAGTTTGTAAGATGTTTTGGAAGTGTATGTGCTTGTTTTGAAAATAGCAAGGATGTTTGTTTGAAATTGAGCAAGTAATTAGGAGCATTCTGTAACGCCCGTAATTTAATTAATTATTTAATTAAATTATTTTTGGAATATTTAAAAAGTTGTATTATAATTAATTGGATTTATTTTATTAAGTGGAGAAATAATATTAGAGATATAATATTATATGGTGAAATAATATTAGAAGTGTAATATTATTTAATGTGGGCTTATTTTGAAGGAATAGAAATAATAAGGGGGTGTGTTGGTTTTAAGCCCAATAAGGAATAATAGAATAATAGGATTATTTTATTATTTGTTAGAAGGAATAGAAAGAAAGAAGCAGTAGAAAGAATAAGGATTTGGAAGGGAACGTGCAAGCTGCTAGAGAAAGTGGAAAACAGCAAGAACAAGAATTCAACCGGAATTGTAGAGCGACCTTCAATCCAAGGTAAGGGTGGGGTTCTGACTCTATAATCGGGTTTATGATGATTGGTATGTGGGGTTAGTGGTGATTGTTGTCTTGTTCTTGAATTGAAAATATATGATTGTTGTATGATGAGAATTGATGAATTTTAGATGAATAATGATGTCATGATGTTGTTTAATTGATGTAGAATTATAAGGTAAATTATGAGTGATGATTATCCATGATTATATTAAGTCTTAGGGCTTTAGTTATGGAACCGTAGTGAGATGTAGTGATATAAAACATTGAATATATCAGTAATAAAAATGCAGAACCGTACGTGGAGGATATCAGAAGTTACTATCTAGAATAATGAATTAATTAGGGATGGCGTTAGGCGTACTGTTCTTAATTAGGTTGATAACATGCAAGAATCAAAATAGTAGGATGAAATAAAAGTAGTAGTTCTGACATTAGAAGTATGTTGATAAGAGTTGCGTCAGATTAGTGCAAGATAGAAGTTCTCATGTTATAC